TTTTGCTTTGATGCTAAGTCCTTAATTTTTATCCGATTCTTTGATTTGAGTGTAGACTATTTCTTCTTGTGAGGCACTTATTTCATGATAGATAGGTGATGTTATTAGCTTCTTTGACATAGTAGGTGAGCAAGCTTAAATTTGATAAGTTAGAGTCCGTCTCTGAGGTTAGGAGGTTAGAAGTTAGTTATTTGTTTGTGACTTGTATATCTTGCACGATGATTAGAAAGTGTATAAATGATGGTTTGAGTTGCTATAGGGCCTAATTGTTAGTATCAACCAAAGTGATGATGTTTCTAGGTTTGATTTATTGAGGCTGGTTTTAATGTTTACTCGAGGACNTATATAAGGAAAAATTTCACATAAGAACAACTAGGCTCCGTACTTTTTAATTTTATAGCTCACATTTCAATTTACAACCAACTAGCCCAAAAATAATAGGCTAATATTCAATATCCAACTCCAATATGTTCTCGAAATTATTATTTAATTTTTTAAAAAGATTGCTCAAGTTTTAAAGTTAATTTTCGAATCAGTAATTGTGACTCAAATATTAGTTCAACAAACCAAATCCATTTGGATGGTAAAAATTAGATTTTTAAGCTTAAATATGTGGGTTTAAATTTCGAATTTGATTTTGTGAGAAATTTGGAGTGTGTGTTATTTAGAGTTGTTAGAAATAGTATAAGGAGGTTGTATATAAAATTTGAAGTCATTTAATGGAGATTTGGACTGGTTTTGAACAAGAATTGCAATTGAAAATCGTGGAAGAAGTTCGTCTACAGACGCTTGTATAAAGGTGTATAAAAATGCATAATAGTGTATAAGATGTGTTTATACACTCATATACACTATTATACAAGATTATACATAATTATACAAAAAACTGACTCCGTCTTCTTCCTTGCTTCTTTTTTGAAATTTAGCTCAAATCTTGCTCAAATCTACTTCAAATCACTTCAAATTTAAATTTTGAACTCCTTTTGATATTTTCAATCAATTGGAACAACACCCAATCCAAATAACTAACAAACTCAAAAATCCTATTTTCGAAAGCAAAGCTTTGAATGGCCTTCAATGGTGGACTTCTACTCTTCAATTTTCTTACATTGCAACCAGGTAACACAAGGGGGGAAGCAAAAAATACACGGCCCCTTGAAGCATATGTAGAAGATGTGAGAAGAAGAGAGAGTGAAAGCAATGGTTGTGAGAACACAGATTTAACTCGATAGCTTTTAGAAGCAATGGTTGTAAGAACACAGATTTTAAATTTGCTAGTGCTTTCAAAATATGTACAATATGGGCTAGGTCAGGTAAAACTTAAATACGTGGGCCATTTTTTGTTATGTTGTGAAGTCACGTGTATTTTCTTGTAATTCTTTCTATATTGAACTATTGTTGCCTCACATTCTGGTACTTTTAATCATCTTTTGAGTATTAATTATATTATTTATATTTAATATTATATTTTAACTGCGTAGGAATAAAGCGATGTGAAAAAGAAGAGATTTGGAGAAAAATTGAATAAAACACGAAAGAAAAAATGAAGGAAAATAAACAAATCAAAAAAGGAGAAAAAGGGAGCAACCTTTGGTATTTGTCCCCCAAAGTTGAAGACAAGATAAAAAGAGAAACACACAAGAAGGCAAAAACGTACATGGGAGGAAGGATTGAAAGAGGAGGCGGAAACTCACTGCTTCCAGCGACAGCGCTTTGGCTGGTCTAGACGATATGTTGCAGGTTTTTCTATTTCGCCCGGACAATGTTATTTCGGCCCTACACAATCCCTACTCGTATAAAAGGGGTCCTTAACCTAATTTGGAGGGAATCTAACATATTTTTGGGAGAAGAAGACGCTACTTTGAGAGGAAAACACAAGCACATAACACTCGAGAGCGAGAATTTTCATTCTTTCTTCATCTTTTTTAGTATCTTCAACTATTCAAACACTTGTGAAATTGTTTAACTTTATCATGAGTGGCTAAAACCCATAAGTTCTGGGATTATGGTTTAGCCATGAATATTGTTGTTCGGGATTGACTTTACCTTGATTATAATTAGCTATTATATGGTTGTTTCTTCAATTCTGCGATTAATCACTTAATTGTATGGCCAACAGTTTGGTTCTATTTACTATCTATGCTATGCTTGGGAAAGCTACGTCTATATTAGAGAAGAATTGAAGAGGGCATGATCTTAACTCTGAGTGGGGGCTGATTTGTGGTTAGGATAGGAATATACTTAGTCACCATGCTTAATTGAATATTGTAATCTTAATGTGTTCTTAATAGATTGATTCCATAAGAATATAGGGGTTAATCTATTTTGAATAGGCGAATAGTAATTCGAGAGAATGCTACGAGAGCAATTACTCGATTAATTAGCAATCATGAGTGAATTGTATGAAAGGTAGAGTTAATTAGAATGCAGTAGGATTGGTAAATCGATCACAATCCTGGAATGTGCATCTCTACTGAATTCTCAACAACCATTTTCTGCTTGATTAATTAGTTGTTACAGTCATAGCGTAGTTATAATCACACCATTAAACTCTGATTGACTCGACTAGATAATAATTTTGGTGAAATTAGTAGATAGTTAACATAAGTCTTTATGGGTTCGACGCTCTTCTTATTATTATATTACTTGTACGACCATGTATACTTGTGTGTGTGTTTGTGAGCAACAATAACTAAACACCTTTCTCAACCCAAAGAAAAAAAAAAGAATAAATAAATGAGTCTATTCGGCCGAAAGAAACCATTGTGTTAACATGAGCCTTATTTGATCAGAATTAGAGTTCTTCCAAAAACTGACAAAAAATAATTTAGAAGAGTAGCACAAATTCTAAACTCAACAATGGAACACATAGTTCACTTGGTTCTTCAGTTGTTCCATAACTTACAGTATTCTGATCACAAGCTAACATCAGTTGGACCTACGTCGTCACATACAAAACCTACATAACTCAATACAATCTTTTAATAAGTTGGCATCTCATAGCGACAAATAGGACAGCTGCCCCTTCTCTCAAGCCAAGTCCATAGGCAGCGAAGATGAAAGTAATGCGAACAAGGCGTGCGAACAACTTGAGTACCCACTGGTAAATCTCCCAAACAAATCACACAACAATTCTCAGTACTATCACTCTTCTTCTTCTTCTTCTTCTTCTTCTTCTTCTTCTTCTTCTTCTTCTTCTTCTTCTTCTTCTTCTTCTTCTTCTTCTTCTTCTTCTTCAGTGAGTCAATCAATGACAAACTAGCAGGTTGGAACCTTGTCCTGTCACAGACATGATATTGGTACAAAAAGACATCACCTGACACACGAATTATCTCTTTGTTGTGTCCTATTAAACGATACTTAGCGTTTTCTTGAAAGTCAAGAGAACTAATTATATTGTAGGCCAGTTGTTAATGACCTCCGACACCATTATTTCTTTATATTTTTCCTGGGACTTGACGGACATCATAAACTCTTCGTAGCTTAGCCATAGACTAAAAGCTTCTTCTAATTCTTCCTCTTCTTGGTAAGGGACGACCTTTTGTGTTCCATTGCTGTCAATTCCAACCCATCGGTGTATGGTTTTGCTGGCAAATCGGATATCTACCGGTGTCAATAAATTAATAGTATTATTCATCATGGTAAGCGCCCTCCACTTCCAACCAAGAGGTTGTGAGTTCGAGTCACCCCAAGAGCAAGGTGGGAGTTCTTGGAGGGAAGGATGCCGATGGTCTATTGGAAACAGCCTCTCTACCCAGGGTAGGGGTAAGGTCTGCGTACACACTACCCTCCCCAAACCCCACTAGTGGTATTATACTGGGTTGTTATTGTTGTTGTTGTATTATTCATCTGTGTGAACACTGAGCGCGGGTAAGTGTTTACTCGAGCATAAGCCTTTAATTTGCCCTTCTGTAGCGTATTCCTTCTTTCCTTTTTATTTGCTTGATGATAGTTTAGGAATCCTGGAAGAAGTTATATATATATAGCTTGACTAGTATCCAAAGTTATTCAGATTCCTACTTCAACTATGAAAAAGAATATCCACTCTAAAGTTATAGCGATAATCCATATTCAAGTAGGAGATGGACAAGTTTCTACTTTAATATATTGTCTATTTCAAGTAGTATTCCGTTAAATATATTTTTCTATTTCAAATGCTGTTTGTATACTTCACAACTAGCTTACCACTAAGATATTTATTGTTGAAATTTGAAAAGGTAATTACTTTACAAATAAATTATTAAATAATCAAATAATTTTCCCTCCAATTTATGGCTTTTTCTTTTTTATCTACTAGTTGGGATATGTTTTAGACTTTATAAGAGAATTGGAATCACATTCGAGCCCTCGGAAACAAAAGCATACTTAGCAATTTCAATGCTACGTTTAAACCACTGGGCTACCTCTCCTACATAATAATTATGAGCGATCCTGCCCTATTTTCATTTCTGTTCCTGCAGGAGATGTATCGTTAGTTATTACCTAATGCCAAAAACTCATGGATGGGGTGACCAACTCAATGTAAAGTAGTTCAAAGTCAACGAGAAATTCGTGCTTCTTCCCCTTTCCTTCGATTTTTTATTCAGAACCCTGCCGTGCTGAGTGTACTTGGCACCACAAAGCCAGCATACTAGGAAACAGATTCAACACAACTTATCCAATAACAAGTTTAATTCACATAAAGTTCTTTAAGGTTAAAAATAAAAAATAAAAAAGAAGAGCAATATCTTAAGTGCCAAAAAGACTAACTGTCAGGTAAACCATAATTGACTTATCTACACTAGATGGGACTTTGAGGCATTGGTTAATCATGGATGCATTCTTAAGAAGAAATAAAGTGTCATGATTATCAAATCATATGGCTTAAAATGAGGCATCTCTATAATTAAACTTCATGTAGGCGTGAAACATATAACTGCACACTAAATAGGTGCAAGGAGTGGCATAATATTCACTACTGCTCTTGCAATATCTAGCTAAGAACTACACCAGTTATGTTATTCAAAAACTGAAATATCTAATAATTTATGCAAGTATCGCCTAGAGGCATACGTATTATAAATAACGTGTCATAGTAATATACAAGGTTTCGACAAAAATTTTACAAGGAAAACACAAAATAGTAGAGACAAGGCTTCTTTGAAGTTTCTACATTCGTCCAACTTCTTCTTTTTTCCTCAACTTGTAGCACATCAGTGGAAGTGGAATAAAGATGAGCTTACGGGAGCCCATAATTGGTGCTAATAGGAGGAGGTGAAGGCTTGGGAATATAAGGCATAAGAGGAGTACCATGCTCAACTGGTCCTGGTCTTATAGAAGCTTTTGTGCTAGGAACTGGATCTATCGGGCGATAATCTTCCAGATCTAAGTTGCTTGGACCGAAGCCATTGCCCTGAGAGTGGGAAATAGTGGAGAAAAAGATGTTTTTAGTAAGAATTTAACTTTTATACAGGTGACTACCGATAAAAATGGAATTAGTAACCTGAAAAATATGGCAAGTAATCTTCTATAGTAGGTTAAACGGCACTGATAGTGTAAATTTTCATTACAATGTTAGTGGATTATAAGTTAAATCCTTTTAGTGATACATCAAACACAACTGGAATAGTTACGAGTAAACACTATTTCTGCATTTACCTTATACTAGGTTGCAATGAAACAACTAACAAGCCAAAGATGGTTGATCAAGTGAAAGTACCTGCAGCTTTCTGCTTCTTATAGTCATCACCATATCATTACTTTGCCATTTGACGGACATTCCTGTGGTTCATTTATGAGAAGGCTAAGTCAATACCCTTGTGTGAATACAGCTATCCGCTTAATTCTGTTGTTTTAGCCTCAGTATCTCGCTAGGTACATGTCTCATATGATTCCTCTAACAGCAGCAGAGTGCATATTAACAAACTGAAATGAATTTACCACAGAGAAGAAGCTGAGCGCAAAAGGGACTGCTATTGGCTTCGTCAATAATCCTCGGATAACAACTTTGATGAATAACTTAAGTAGCTGAATAACAGTAAGATGCCTCAACACGTGCAAGCATAAACACAGAAAGAATTAAATAGGCAGGCTTCTCTTCTAACTGTAACTGTTAGTTTACTGCTTCCATTGATATCAAATCTGATCCTCAATCAATTGAATCTTTTGGAAAGAGAAAGATATATTACAAAGTTTAAGTTTCTACAACATTCATTATTCAGATTAACCACTCATATACCTTCTTTTCCTTCTCATTCAGCAAATTTAGGCACACATTCTAAAAGAGAGATGCAATATACAAAGAACTTTAATAAATAAACAACGTTAAAAGCGAATGAATATATAGAGTATAGAAGTCATTTCTAGCGTTATATTTCCCAACCTGATCATTTAGCAAATCCTTAGACTTCAAATGTCATGTCAGGACCAAATAACATATAGTATAAAGTACCAATCACTTTTGTTTGTGGAGTTCTAGCTTAAATATGTTCACTTTTATGTGTATCATATATATATAGTACAAGACTTGTGACAAGAGAGAACCATTCGTGGTCCAATCCATTTGTCAAAGATTAGAGTGAACTAGAAGTATAAGGAATATAAAACCACTTAGGAAAAGAAGTAGAATAAATTGTTGGCGAGTGAAAGTCTTTTATGGAGAGCAACCAAGAAGGTTAATTTGCACGGACGAGTAGTGGTGACAAGGTGAACAATCATAAGCTATATAAGGGATTATTCCCAGGTGATACCAACTACAAATGAGTGAAAGTTTGATTATATCTCAAAGGTAGGGAAAATGAAGTTAAAATATAAACTACCGGTGAAAATACTTTCAAATCCCTCCATTTGAGAAAAAATCCTTCGTTAGATTAATAAAATTCTCCGACAAGTCAATCAATCAACTATTCCTCAGTCTGAAACTAGTTTGGGTCGGTTATATCAAACCTCTGTATAAGTTCACTCTATAAGGAACCATTCTTTCAAATACTCAATAATTTCTCTTTAAGGGGTTCTTTAAGTAAGACTAGCCCTTACATGTTTCCATCTTTTACAATTACACAATACAAAAGGAATTGAATAAACTGAAGTAACAAACTAAAGCATATTATAAGAACTTAAGTTCAATAATGGAAAAATTCAATGTCACAGAAAAAATAGCATGAGTCCAAGGCCAAAATAAGAGGTACCTCCAGTGCTGAAGCAATTAAAGGACACAAAAGCTGTCCCCATCACCAAGAACAGAACAAAGAAACCAAAAGCCTTCATACTGCAAGTACAAATATTCACCAACTGACAAAGTAAGATTGATATTTGATTTTTTTCTTCACACCCTTTTCAAGAAAAGTGAAGTTTTTGAATAAAATCAACCCATTTGAAACGTTTGTTCAGAACCCGCCTTTCGTAGATGAAAAAGAAGAAGAACAATGACTCATTCAAGCCCATGTTGGAGTATATAATAAAGAGAAGCATTAGAATAATAAAGAAATGATATAGTGAGGATGAGTCATGGAGAAGATAATGTGGGGTGGCATTGTAGTAACAATGCAATGTGTATAGGGGACAGTAAATGAAAGAGAGTTATTAATGCACTTTGTTAGAGTAGTTTTGTTTTTGAGTTGCAGAAACAGTGGGGAATGAAGCCAATTGAATGCTTAACATGGTGGAAAACGAGCCTTTGCAGCCTTTCATCTTAGAACATTGGTTTCCCGATCACCGCAAAAGAGAGCTTTTTGGCTTCTTGTAAGTTGTAACATGTGGGAATATTATGATAAAAAAGAATTAATACCGGATTTAGAATTTAAATGTCACGAATTCTAAATTGGAAATTGAGAGTGTAAATTCTAAAATATATATGGTATAAATTTCATTAATATAGTCAAACCTCTCTGTAACTGTTTACCCGTAAAACGTTATGATATTTGGCTATAATTATATAATTTTAGTGCATTACTTACCTTACATTTAGGTGCTTTAATGGTAAATTGTATTATATGTGTGTTTAATTGGGTTTATTTTATATGTAGGTACGTTGGAAATAAATTGGGAGCAACTAAAAATTTTATGTGTATTTTATACATTACAAGAATGAATTTATGATTATTTAATTATGGAATATATAAGGATTAAAGTTAACAAATAAAGGAAGAGAAAATAAACAAATGCAAAGAATTGAAAAGAAAGGAAAAGAAGAGAAAACGTGAAATGCAGAAGTTAGGCACAAATTGGTAAATGAAGCAGCAGCAGGCGACGCGAGGGTATAAGCTCGCGTTAGAGCAGGCGAAGCGAGACCATTTCCTGGAGTTTTGCCTCGCGACGCGAGGGGTGCAGCGAGGTTCACCGCGCGTTTTGCCTCGCGACGCGCGGTCTATCGCGAGGGTGTTCCTGATTTCAGGCCTATTTTGTCAACTATTTAGTTTTGGACTTGGTTATTTCGTCTAGGTTTTTCTCTACACATATAAATAGTCATTAAACATCATTTTGAGAGGGTATTTGACCTAAGGAGGCAAGAACACACTACGAGCAAGGCGGAGAATTCTTCTACGAGTTTTTCACTTCCTTCTTCCTATTTCCACTATTGGTTATGAATTCTAGTATTGTAGTTTTGCATACTATTATGAATAGCTAATTTGTTATCTAGAGTTTTGATAGAACCTTTTGTAGGATAAATTCTCGTTATGTTTCTATATAATTGAGTCGTTGGATTTCTCTACTTGTTCAACTACGTGTTTATTGTTATTGATTGAATGGTCATCAATTGACTGTGCCTATTTAGTATGTATTGCTTGGAAAATGGTATATATTTAGATAGTTGTTGAACAACATCACTCCTGATGTATGTGAGGAATCAATACGAAGGGTTTAAAGGTGGGATTAGGAATAACGAAACCTTGGTGCGATCTTAGTGAGCAGTAAACTAGTCCCAGCTAGCGTAGTTCGGAAGAATATGTCTAGCAAATTGTGGTAGTTTTTCGGAAGAGAATTATGACACCCGAAGTACTCACAATTGGTAGAAAATACTTAGGTGAAATTATAGAAGGCATGGCGGGAAGGATTCCGACAATTGAAAAAATCATAACTCTAGATCTCCTTAGTCTTGTCTCAAATTTCATCCTTGTTAGTTGATAATTTTACTGCTTTATAATAGTTGTTAGTAAATTAGTTAGAAATAAATATTATAATCTCTATAATTAGGAAATTGTTTGGACTTGTGTTTCTTAGCAATATTGAACAGCTGTAGCTAAGCCTTAGTTCTCTTTGGGATTCGACTCCGGACTTGTAAATCGAATTATATTTGCAACGACCGCTTAGTCCTTTTTATAAGGCATAGTTGGGCGTGATCAAATTTTGGTGCCGTTGCCGGGGAACTAACGGTATAGCTGTAGGTGTAGGTTTCAAGTTTGAACTTTATTTTGTTTTATTTTATTCTACTTGTTGATTTGAGAAACATGACATCTTGGAATTTTGGGAGTTTAGGTGTTGGTAATTCTACTATTGATCTTTATGCATATTGTGGAGAAAACCACCAATTGCAAAATTATCAAAATATTTTCGAGAGCGAATTTTGTGCACCAATTCAATCTTATGTGTGGAATGTGTGTGATATGTGTGGTGGTCAAGATGGTCACTTTCATGGTCGTGTTTATATGTCTTATCCTCCCCTAACCCCTTACTTTGATGGTTCGTCGTTTTCTTGTGAAGTTTATAGGAACAAAGAACCCAGGGATGATGACCTGAAAGAGATCAAGGATATGCTAAAGTGCCTTGTGGAACAAAATAATGAGAAACAACTGCACATACAAAAGCAAGATACTGCTATTCGCAACCTGGAGGCACAAGTGAGTCAACTAGTTGAAGCATGTAATGCTCAACAAGCTAATATTGTGGATAGTAGCCAAGAGAAGCATGCATTAGATAACGAAATTGAGGTTCTAATGGAGGAGGTCAAAGTAGAACACCAACAATCTATCCAATTAGATGTTGAAGATGCCGTTGTTGTAGAAAAGATACTAGAGTCAACCAAGGATATTGAGGATACATATTTAGTTGACTCTAGTGTCATTGGTATTGAGGGTGTAGACAGTCCCAATGTTCATGTAGTTGAGCGCATTGGTCCACACTCCAAGTATTTTTTCACATTGTGTTTGGATGATGATATAGAAATAGAGTCATTCGAGCCACTTGAGGAGTCAAGGAATGAGGAACAAGGTGCCTACATTCTGGAATTCTTCTTGCCAGAAAGTCGAAATTACACACCTCATCTAAAAGGCCAAGAAGTGCATAATACTACATTGTTTCCTTGGGCCAGTTAGATTCGTTCCACCACCCCAGGAGCATAATCATACGCTTGAATCAAAACTTGGGGTTCAATTCATAAGCTCGGAGTGGAGGCAAAAAGTGGTTCATGTCGTGCCGCGACGTTAAATCAAGCGCTTGTTGGGATGCAACCCAGCTTTTTTTTTTATTATTATTATTATTTTATTTATTATTGTATTATTCTTGTAGTGTCGATTTTTAATTTTCTAGGAGCATGGAAAGCAAATCCATTGGAAGGATGCAATAGCAAACCAGATGGTTGAAACTAAGTGTGAGGTACCCGCACGAAGGACCAAGCCTGAGAGAAGTCTGAGTACCCCATGAGCTGCTAGTGCTTGGGTCTTTGGCCTACCAGGGAGTTTCTGTTAACCTCTTATATTTATGAGTGTGCATTGGGGACAATACACAATTTTAAGTGTGGGGTGAGGAGATTGTCTGGGTGACTTTCTATGCTATTTTAGTTGTGTTAGTTTAATTCATTAAAAAAAAATCAAAAAATAGAAAAGATTGAACTTTTCCCGACGATGGATCTCCTAGACAACTTTCTTGAGGTATTTAAGTCTAAAAAAAAGAATTTTGTTGTAGGTAGCGTAATAATCCCCCGTGGTTTTTCTTTGTGCCTCGGTTCTTTTCCATGGGATGTAGTTTGAACCGGGTCATAGTTTTTTATTTTTAGAGTAGAATAGGATTTAGAGAATAAAAGAAGGAAGATGAAATTCCTAGGCGCTTTTTGACTTGTTTGATAGTAGCATATTTAGGCTCTAGCATGTGTATTGCCTTCCCTATAGCTTGAAACTGCTTATGATGCCTTATTGAGTCGGATAGCAGGTCTATTAATGCCTATGTCTCATTTTCTTGGCTCGTATTCACTTTGTGCTTAATACTTAATATTTTGTGGCTCCGTGAATACTTATAATTATTTAAGAATCGGAATGGAACCGTACTTAATGAGTCATGTGCCATGTGTGGTGAGAAATTATATAGTCCGTGTCATTGCATTAGAGTCTAGAACTTTTCCGGCATGTGAGTTGAAGCGAAATTTTAGGTTTTGCTCGATTTGAAAAATGATTTTAGGCTTTATTTGATTCTTTTGAACTTAATGCTTACCACGAATAAAAATTATCCATAGTCAATCCTTTTGAGCTTATAGACTTTTATTTGGCAACCACATTACAATCATATACCCCTTTGTTCTAAATTTTTATTATTTTGATCTTTTTACCTCTTAAAGCACTTTAATTGTGAAATGAGCGCTAGAAGAAGTAAGGGCTAAGTGTGGGGTGGCTTTCGAATGGAACCAATTAAAGAAAGAATGGTGCACTTATTTTTTTAAAGTAATACACCACTAGCGGAAACTGAAAAAGGAAAAACAAGAGTAGAAAAGAAAAGAGAAGAAAAGAAGGAAAAATATAGATGAATAAATTATTGTCTTGTTCTTGCTAGTAGGATATAAAGTAAAGTGCTTAAAGAAAGAGGGAATATTTTTTGGGTGTGATCTTGTTTGTGAAATTGAAGTGGATTAAGGAATTTGCGCTTAAAGTTATTATGTGATGTGTTAAAGTGCTTGGGAGGATGAACCACTAATCCAACATATATCTTAACATTCCCTTAGCCCACATTACAACTATGAAAAAGTCCTAACTGATTTTAGATTGAGCAAGCCTACATTAGTGGAGGTTTACATAATGGGCAAGCCTATGGTACTTTTTGCATGCATGTGACTTCTTTGTGAGAGTGGGGAATTTATTTAATTTATCTGAATCCTTAAAATATATTTGAGCATTTGATTCGAATGTGTGGATTCAATTTACTCATTTGTTCTTGTTGTGAGGGCACATGATTTCGCGAGGGATAGGTGACGTTATTAGACTTCTCTAAATGATATTGGGTGTTCAAGCCATGAGTGCATTGTGACTTTTGAGCCGATTTTTGAGGCTAGGATTGTTATGAGCATGTTGTCTTTATTTTGAATATTTGTGAAGTATGGTATAAGAAAAGTGAAGTGTATGTGATTACATATGCTAAAGTTGAATTGGTGCAATTAACCATGGTCATTGGTGTAGTCTGCCTCAATTGTGTAAAAAC